GTGGGTTAAGCCTCTGCCTTTGGCTCAGGTCATGATCTCGGGGTCTTGGGATCGAGCCCTGCATAGGGCTCCCTGCTCAGCGTGGAGTGTGCTTCCTCCTCTGCTTGCCCCTCCCTCGCTTATGCACACACACACTCCCTCTCTGACAAATAAATTAATAAAATCTTTAAAAAAAACCCATAAATATGAATTGCTTTACCTTGTTCTCTGTTGTAATTTCCAGTGTCAGTTCAAGTGATTCAATCTCCCTGTTTTAAAATTCTGTAATAAAGGCTATGACTCCCATCTTGGTTGTTTGTTTGCTGTTTGTTTATTTAGCACCAGCTAAATAAACTGGAAAGGACTTACAAATGGAAATGGAAGGACTTACAAATGGAAACCGTGTTTTGCTCTTTGCTATTTGTATGAGCTCTCTGTGAGCCCGTGTCGGTGTGCTAGCAATAGGTTCCTGTTTTATTTTATTTTTTTTATTACGTTATGTTAGTACAAGATATATAATAGCTAAACACATTTAAAAACTTCTAACAGAGGGCGCCTGGGTGGCTCAGTTGGCTAAGCAACTGCCTTCGGCTCAGGTCATGATCCTGGAGTCCCAGGATCGAGTCCTGCATTGGGCTCCCAGCTCCCCGGGCGGGTTGTGGGGAGGTCTGCTTCTCCCTCTGACCTTCTTCCCTCTCATGCTCTCTCTCACTGTCTCTCTCTCAAATAGATAAATAAAATCATTTAAAAATTAAAAAATAAATAAATAAAAAATAAAAACTGCTAACAGAGACGCCAGACTTCTAAATTGAGAGCTAGGGAACATAGACTGGCCTTTTGGAAGGTCAGACTCGGCAAAGCTATCCCCACAGTTGGTTGTGTCCCCCATGATATGCCCTGTCTGTCCTGCTCTTTTCCCTCTATTTCTTTTCTGCTATTAGTTTTGGAAGCACAGCGCTGCTCTGCTTATCTTTAAAATTACTTGGAGATAATATCCTGAAGTGCGACAAGGGCGGCTGTGTTTTGGAAAATCACTCGTTGGTCATTCCAATGAGTTGGGCCATTTTCCACTTTCTGAAAGAAATTCTGCCCTCCTGGCCACCGCCTGTCCCACGTCTAAAGGCAACACTTCCCACGGGTAAGAGCAATTGTTCTGTCCACCGTAACCACTCTTTGGGAAGGACTAATGCTGTCTCCCACACGCCTATCCCCTCGTGCTTTTATTCTTAAAAGTAGTGGCAGAGAATCGTGCGCTCCGGGGTGGAGCTTCACTACCACGCTTGACCACCTCTGTTGGGATTTGTGTCTCCGTGCGTGTCATGACTCATCTCATGATGAGGCAACACTAACTGGAAGTTAAAGTGTCTAATATTTTTCCTCGCTTGAACGATTTCTCACCAGTCCGAGAAAAGGGATGTTTGCAGTTCTGCCATGTTGAGTTCTGGAGAGATGTGAATTTTAGTGTGTTCAGAGAGAGGTGCAACTGTCGCCAGAGTTCATTTTGGAAATGTGGGATTTTCCTAACCTCAAAAAGAAACCCCACCCTGTTTAGCTCTTGCTTCCCTTCCCCCACTCCCCACCTCCCATCTTAAGCTTAATCTACAGATGTCTCCATCCTGGGCTTCCACACGAATGGCATCACAGAGTGTGTGGTCTTTTGTGACTGGCTTCTTTACCTTAGCACGTTTTCAAGGTTCCTCTCCGTTACAACATGTTCGGTAGTTCCTCCCTTTGCATGGCTGAACGTATCATGAATTTACATTTTCTTTCAGTGACGGGACTGAGCGGGGACCAGTGAGCAGGGGCTGGGACAAGGCGTCAGTGGGCAGAATGAACCTTTGGACCTGACGATTCTGGGATTCTCTGAGAGTAGATGGGACACATGAATATTATGTAGGATTTGTAAGTCCTTATCAGTGGACAGAGCCCTTTGGTCTGGGTTCGCATCAGACCGCAGTTTCCAGGCTTGCTGTACTAGACATGCTAATAATTTGCCTGCTTTTCCGCAGAGAATCTGTATGTTGCTTCTGTGAGCCTAAATGTCTGTGAGACCCGGCCCTTCCCTATGTTGTCTGATCACAGCGGGATCGGTGGGCATTGGACCAAGGATGGCCGTTTCACAGGAAGGTCAACGCTCTCTGTGGAACTCCCGTGGCCTGGCTTCAGAAAATAAACTTGAGCAATCAGATTCCTTTCTCGGGCATAGGGTAGAGGGCCGCGGGGACTCTGAGCCACCATCTGAGACTGAAAGGCTCTAAGAAAGACGTGGGATGGGGTCAAAAGTGAGGGACCATCTATGAGCAAAAGTGAGGAGGAAACCAGTCAACGGAAAGAAGTGAATGGAGCAGACAGAGAAGACCAGAGACCCTGGGAGAGATCCTGAGCTTCCTGTCCAGGGCTAAATGTGTGTGTGTGTCCACGTGCATGCACACACATGTGTGTCTGCGTGCGGTAGGTGTGGGTGCATTGTGGGGGGACACTAACAACAAAATCTTCACCCCAACGGCAGATGTGTATGTAGATCCTGGAGACCAAGTGGCGTGAGGGATGGTCAGGCTCAGCGGGCAGTGGGAGTACCGGCCCCATGCCCCCCACCCCCACCTCCAACCTCAGCCCTGTAAAGCTGTGCCTTTCATTAATCATTAGTTTCCTGTTTTTGAAAAGCCTGTTGGGGAGAGCAGCTGTTATCAAGCAGAAAGAAACTTGGGGAGGTGAGTAAGAGAAAAGGGTCTGTAAAACTATTTTTCTGGATTTTCTTCCTTCAGTATGCATCTATAGAGACCCATACGGACTATAGTCGTGAACTTATTGAAGTCTCAAAACAGTGACTCCAAACTCCTTGTGATCCCACAGCCTACTGACATGGGTAAAGCTGAATGCCCAGTTTCTTTACCCAAAGTTAGCTGAAAGCATTTCCCTTGAGGCTCGCACAGGCAGGGAACTTCTGAAGTCTGAACCCCGGGGTAGCCTCCTACTTGGGGGGATGGGGTGGAAAGCAAGATTTGATACTTTTTAAAATGTTCTTTTCCAAAGGTAAAATGCTTTTCTCTTCCTTAGTCCACACATACTACATGTTCATCTGGAAAAGAAATCAAAATATACACAAAAGTGCACAGAAGATTGAAAAACTATCTGCAGTAACCCCACACCCAGATACGCCACTGATCACATCGCGCTGTGTGTTCACTGAAGCCTTGCTTGCTCTGTTCACATCACGGTCCCTGGCATTCCACCAGCACCAGCCATCGTGCCTGTGGGCTCCAAAGCACACCAGCATGGCAGAGCCAAGCACAAGTTGAATCAACCCTGCCACCTGCTGCCCAACCTAATTTCCTAAGCAGCTTTTTGGCCCTTGAAAGCTCATTTTCTTTTCAAAATCCCTATTATTTCTATTTTTGTAATCCAAGGGTAATGCATGTTTGCTATACAAATTCAAACAATAGAGAAGCTGACGTCAAAAATGAAAGTCCCCTTTCCATAATCGCACCCCCCAGAGGTAACCGTATGACCAATTTAGTGCGTATCCATCTTAATCGTGGCATTTACATGCCTATATATGGGTTATTCATTCATTTATTCAAAAAGCTTTTTTTAGGGTCTCCTGTGTGCCATGCTAGACACCAGGGCTGGAGCTGTGGGAAAAAAAAAAAAAAACAACTCTTCCTTTTCAAGTGCCTGGGTGGCTGAGTTGGTTAAGCGTCTGCCTTTGTCTGCGGTCTTGATCCTAGGGTCCTGGGATGGAGCTCCCTGCTCAGCGGGGAGCCTGCTTTTCCCTCTCCCTCTGCCTGCCACTCCCCCTCCTTGTGCTCTCTCTATCTCTGTCATATAAATAAAGTATTTTAAAAAAAGAAAATATTTTTTAAAAATCTCTTCCTTTTTGGAGCTTACATTTTAGTGTAGGGAGACAGGTAGTAAACAAACAATGGATCCATAATAGGCTAGGTGATGATATGGAGAAAATAAGATGGAGTGAGAGAGCTGGGGAGTGCCCAGCAGAGCGTAGACAGGGTTGCTATTTTATAAAAAAGGAAAGACTCTCAGGGAAGGTGACATTTGGGCAGGGTCCTTTAAAAAGTGAGGTAATAATCAATGTGGGTATCTGGGCCAAAAACAAAGGGCTGAGGCAGAAATAGGCTTGAGAAACATCAAGGAGGCTTGCTGGCTGGAATTGAATGACTCTAGGGGGAGGACAATAAGAGACAAGGTCACAGAAGTAACAGGGTTGAGGTAGGGGGAAGTGACTCCTTGGCCTAAAGGTACAAGGAGAGAAAAGAACAGTCCAGAAGCCCCATGAGAACTGAACTCTGGAGGAAGGACCCTGTGACTGCAGACACTGGAAAGTTTTGAGGAGAGAAGAAGAGAGGCAGGATCTAACCTAAGAGTTTTAAAGGATCACTCTGACTGCTGTGTTGAAAATAGACTAAAGAAGTTAGAATAGTTAACAGGAAAGTCAGTCAAGGTAGACAGCAGAAGTTGAATCTGGGGCACGCCAATGTGCAGAAAGAGAAAAGGAATTGGAGGGGCCCAGAAATCTGTATTTTTTTAAGGAACTATCACAGGTAATTCTGATGCAGGTGCCTATTCCTGCCACTTTTATTTAACACAGTGCTGGCAGTCTTAGCCAGAACAATCAAGCAAGAAAAAGAGATAAGAGGCATCTGAAGAAGTAGTAAGAAGCAAAATTGTAAGCGAAGAGAAAAAACTGTCTATATTTGTAGACAACATGACATTAAACATCGAAAACCCTAAGGACCATAGCCAAAAAACTGTCAGAAATAATAAAGAAGTTTAGTAAGGTAGGATACAAAGTCAACATACAAAAGTCAGTTGTTGTTTTTTTCAAGATTTCTTTATTTATTTTAGGGAGACAGAGTGAGAGTGCGGCAGACAGAGGGAGAGAGAAACTTCAGCAGACTCCCTACTGAGCGCAGAGCCCAGTGCGAGGTGGGGTTCCATCTTACAACCCTGAGATCATGACCCGAGACAATATCAGAAAGAGAAATTAAGAAGACAATACCATGGTGCTTGCTTTGGTAGCACTTATGCTTAAATTAGAACGATACAGAGAAGGTTAGCATGAACCCTGTGCAAAGATGACATGCAAATTCATGAAGCAGTCTGTATATTTTTAAAAAATATTTTATTTATTTATTTGACAGAGAGAGACACAGTGAAAGAGGGAACAGAAGTAGAAGGAGTGGGAGAGAGAGAAGCAGGTTTCCCGATGTGGGGTTCGATCCCAGGACCCCGGGATCATGGCCTGAGCTGAAGGCAGAAACTTAACGACCGAGTCACCCAGGCACCTGCATTCTATATTATTTTTTAAAGATTTGATTTATTTATTTGACAGACAGAGATCACAAGTAGGCAGAGAGGCAGACGGGGTGGGGGGGCGCAAAGCAGGCTCCCTGCTGAGCAGAGAGCCCGATGTGGGGCTCGATCCCAGGACTCTGAGATCATGACCTGAGCTGAAGACAGAGGCTTAACCCACTGAGCCACCCAGGCACCCCTCTATATTTTTTTTTAAATAGAAAAATAATAAAGCATTCTAAAATGCCTCAAAAAATAAAACAATACCATTTATAATAACATCAAAAAGAATAAAATACATAGGAATAAATGTAACCAAAGAGGTAAAAGATCTGTACACTGAGAACAGTAAGACTCTGATGAAAGAAAATAAAGAAGACACAAATAAATGGAAAGATGTTCTGTGCTCATGGATTAGAAGACTTAATATTGTTCCAATGTCTATACCATCCAAAGCAATCTACAGAGTCAGTGTAATTCCTATCAAAATTCCAATGGTATTTTTCACAAAACCAGAACAAATGATCCTCAAATTTGTATGAAACCACAAAAGACCCTGAATAGCTAAAGCAATTTTTAGATAAAAGAGGAAAGCTGGAAGCAGCACACTTCCTGATTTCAAACTGTATTACAAAGCTTTCGTAGTCAAAAGCATATGGTTCGATAGAACAGAAAGCAGAGTGCAGAAATATACCCATGCATCTATGGTCAATTAATTTTTAATTAACAATTAATTAACAAAGGAGTTAAGACTACGCAATGGGGAAAAGGACAGATTCCTCAGTAAATTGTGTTGGGAAAACTAGACAGCTACACGCAAAAGAATGAAACTGGACCCCCGTCTTACAGCACACACAAAAACCAACTCAAAATAGGTTAAAGACTTGGCCATAAGATCTGAAATCATAAAACCCCAAGAAGAAAACATAGGAGAATAAGCTCCTTGACCTTGGTCTTGGAAATAACTTTTTTTTTTTTGACAGCAAAAGCAAAAACAAACAAGTGGGACTACATCAAACTAAAAAGCTTTTGCACAGCAAAGGAGACATTAAACAGGATGAAAAGGCAACCTACAGAATGGGAGATAATATTGGCAAACCACATACCTGATAAAGGGTTAATACCCAAAATACACAAGGAACACATACAACCCAATAACAAGAACAATAACGAAAAAAACATATAACCCAATTTAAAAATGGACAAAGGACCTGAATAGGCATTTTTCCAAAGAAGACATCCAGATGGCCAACAGGCACATGAAAAGATGCTCAACATCACTCAGCATCAGGGAAATGAAAATCCAAACAACAGTGAGATTCTACCTCTAATTCTACCTCTTAGGATGGCTACTATCAAAGAGACCAAAAAAGCCCACAAAAACCCCACAAATACTGGACAGGTTATGGAGAAAAAAATGAGCCTCGTGCACTGTTGGTGGGAATGCAAATTGGTACAACCACTGTGGGAAACAGGATGGAGTCTCCTCAAAAAGTTAATAGAACTACGATGTGATCCAGCGATCCTTCTTACAAAGTATATATCCAAAGGAAATGAAACCATTATCTAGAGGAGATATCTGTACTCCCATGTTCATTGCAGCATTATTTACAATAACCAAGGTGTGGAAACAAGTACCTGTTAATGGATGAAGGGATAAGAAAACGTGGTATATGTACAGATACAATGGAATCTGATTCAGTCTTTAAAAAGAAGGAAATTGTGTCATTTACAACATGGATAAATATTACAGGGTATTGCTAATATGTGAAGTCTAAAATGAAGAAAGAAAAAGAAAAAAAAGTCAAATTCATAGGAACAGAGAGTAGAATTGGGGGTTGCCAGGAGCTGGGAAGTGGGGAAATTGAAAGGGGCTGGGAAAGGGGTACAAACTTCCAGTTATAAGATGAAATAGTTCTAAAAAAGAAAGAAAGAAAGAAAGAAATAGTTCTGAAGATCTAATGTATAACATGCTAACTATAGCTGATAATACTGTTTTGTATCACTGAAATTTGCTGAGAGTAAAACTTAAGCATTCTTGCAAAAAAAATCACTATGTGAGGTGATGAATGCATTAATTAATCTGATAGTGAGACTCCTTTCACAGTGTATCCAATCACCATGTTGTACACTTTATTTTTTTAAGATTTTATTTATTTATTTATTTGGGAGAGGGAGGACAGGGAAAGGGATAAAGGGAGAAGCAGACACCCCACTGAGCGGGGAGCCCGATGCAGGACTCGATGCCAGGACCCTGGGGATCATGACCTGAGCCAAAGGCAGATGCTTAACCAACTGAGCCACCCAGGACCCCTACACTTTAAATATACTGCAACTTAATTGTCAATTATGCCTCCATAAAGATGTAAAAAAAAAAAAAACCCAAGCAAGTGAACACACCCACACACATCATTAGACATTTGTGTTGTTTTGTAAGCTCATACTTTGTAGGAAAAAGTGTTTCATGAAGCTACATTTCCCCCATACAGCAAATGACAGAAAAAAAAAAAAGTTGTCCAAAGTGGAAGGGTAGTAAACACATGTGTTTATTTAAAGACCAATGAAAAGGGTTGGAATAAGTCACACCCATGCCGCCTTGACTTCCATCATTATGTTTATCATGTATACTTGTGTTTTAGGAACACAGTAGGTCAATCTGAGTCCTGCTAGGGGCTTCTTTATGAGTTCTCTTGTTGTTTGAGGCACACAGTTGAGGTAGGGGTGCAGAATGGGGATATTTGGATCTGTGTCACAGCAAAAAAAATGTCTTTCCATTCAATGACATAAATAATTATAAACCACCAACAATAAATGACCTTCTGAAGTTCTTTCTGATTGGCTTATTTTTGCACAAAATGATGTGTCAGGTGACAGGGATGAAATAGATTTGAAATATCGGTCAATGCAAATCTTTCCCGGGGAATTACTAGTAAGCTCTTTTCTTATTTGGTGAAGGATTTATCTGATTGGTAAATTTGTGAAGAACAGACCAGACATGCTTAGTTTTTAAAAATATGGTTGATAGGCAATAGAATTTTCCCTCCACACCAGAACTTGAGCAAACATGAGGATTTCAACAGTTCCTTGCATCTCATTCAGCCTTGTCCTTGGGATAGGGTGAGAGGCTTTTATGTTATCATGAAGGGAACAAAACAGACAATCCTGAGCAGAAAGAAGAAAGCTCTCCAGATGATCTTGAGGTTTCCATTTCAAAGATAAAAGTAATGGTAATGGCAAGAAGTCTTTGCTCCTTTAGAAGCAGAGCTGGGCTGTCTTCGTCAACTCTGCGGTGGGCAAGCTTCACTGTGAATGAGGCCCCCTTCTGAGGAGTCACAGAATGGGAAAGCCCTGGAATTTGTAGCCTGTTCAGAGAATCCAGATCGGCTGGTTTCAAACTGTAGCATTCTTAACAGTCCTAACCAATGGCCATGTGAATAAGATGGTCACAAATTGAGTCGATAATGGGTAATATTATGATTATTTGATGTGATAATTGAGCGGTGTCATGGTATTTGCTTCCAAGAGTCTTTGCCCAAGTTGATGAGATCATCTATGTTTTCTCTGAAATTACAATGATTACCCAGCTGATGTTTCTGGAAGCTGGTTGGTATGTGGTTTGGTAGAAAGGCAAAAGGTTGGGAGGTGAGCAACACCAAGATGTCCTGAGAATGGACTAGTTGACTCCAAAGAATCAGAGGCCAGTCACTCACACCATCTATTAATGGGAAGCTGTGAACACATTTCCCACTTCTGTGTTTTCCAAGAAAGGGGGAGCTTAAAAAATAGCACCCGGGCACCTGGGTGGCTCAGTGGGTTAAGCTGCTGCCTTCGGCACAGGTCATGATCTCAGCGTCCTGGGATCGAATCCTGCATCAGGCCTCTGCTCAGTGGGGAGCCTGCTTCCCTCTCTCTCTCTCTCTCTCTGCCTACTTGTGATCTCTGTCAAATAAATAAATAATAAAATCTAAAAAACAAACAAACAAAAACCAAAAACAAAATAGCACCCAAAAACATTCCATTCAGATTCTGCTATTGCATACATTCCCTTCAAAACTGGAGTTTTGTTTTTCTTTGTTTTCCCATAGGAAGAAAAAGTTACAGAAGAGACTTGTCCTATCAAGCACCCACTAGTACTGCTAGTACTAAATCCTACTACAAGGTATATTGGGTTAAATAGTGTCCCCCTCAAAATTCGTGCCCTCTCAGTTTGTGGCCTTGTTTGGAATTAGGGTATTTGCAGAAATAGTTAAATTAAGATGAGGTCGGGGCACCTGGGTGGCTCAGTGGGTTAAAGCCTCTGCCTTCGGCTTGGGTGTGATCCCAGGGTCCTGGGATTGAGCCCTGCATCGGGCTCTCTGCTCGGCAGGGAGCCTGCTTCCTCCTCTCTCTCTCTGCCTGCCTCTCTGCCTACTTGTGATCTCTCTGTCAAATAAATAAATAAAATCTTTTAAAAAAATTAAGATGAGGTCATAGTGGATTGGGGGGCTGCCTAAAGCCCATGAGTTGCATCCTTATAAGAAGGTCATGTGAAGACACAGACCCACACAGGGAAGACAGACATGAGATAATGGAGGCAAAAATTGAATCCATTTCTGTGGTTTCAAGCCACTATTTTGTGGTAATTTATTGTGACAATCCTAGGAAACTAACACATAGGATCAGGGGAGGCTGGGGGGGGGCAGATACTGAGGTCTGATGAATGAGCCTCTTTAACTTTTCCCCTGATCTCACTTCTGTACTCATCGGATATTTGACCTTTCACAGTACGTCCACAGAGTAGCCGGTATCCAGCCTCCACTGAGGAGCCTCCCATGCAGG